GCATACAGTGAAGACTGCAAAGCTACCAACTCACACCCACCCCTACACCTCATAACACACACACGGTTCACGCATGTGCGCAGACTACCGTCGTGTAGTGTATGAGGCACACGCACCTGCCCCAGGTTAGTGGTGACGGTGTACTTCTTCAACCGCACGCACACAGCTAACGTCAACGGATCAGCAAACATGCTGTGCTTGGGAGTGTACACTTTGATATCCAGCCCTTTCCGACGGTGCGAGTGATCCTCGTCCTCACTGGAAGACCCCTCGAAAGACCCCGCGAAAGACCCCCCATCCCCCTCTGTGTCGGTGGCGGTGTCTGTACAGGTCTCGGCATCCGATTGGTCACCGCCCACGGCTGAAGCAAAATGTCAGAGTAGATAAGTGGACGAATGAGTGTACGGCACAGGACAGGAACACGCACAGCTATAGGTACGAACGATTGATGAGCATCAGAGAAACTAATTTCATTGATGAGTATCAGAAAAACAAAGTTAATTGATGGCATCAGGGAGACTAACTCAATTGATGAGCATCAGAGAGACTAAGCTAATTGGAACTGTAAGACTCTACGATACGAATGGGCACACGAGAGTCTGACGTACACACAATGCCACAGTTATGCGCACACGCACAAAGTTCAGTGCACAAACATACATTCTCTGAAGATCATTCGGTGCACACAACCACAGCAGCGGCCCACACAGACAGTTGGCGGTAGTCACTATCACTAACGCGCACCTCACCCACCTCTCATGAGGATAGTAACCATGGCAACCTATTACCACACGACCGTACACACTGCCGCACACACTCACCATCATATAACACAGACGATATGCTACTCTTGGGTCATTAAGACAGTAACCATGACAACCTTTTATCACACGACCGTACACACTGCCACACACACTCACCATCATATAACACAGACGATATGCTACTCTTGGGTCATCAAGACAGTAACCATGACTACCTATTACCACACGACCTTACACACTGTCACGCACACTCACTATCACATGACAGACGATATGTTACTCCTGGGTCATGAAAACAGTAACCATGGCAACCTTATACCACACGATCATACACCCTGCCACACACACTCACCATCATATAACACAGACGATATGTTACTCTTGGGTCATGAAAACAGTAACCATGGCAACCTTATACCACACGATCATACACACTGCCACACACACTCACCATCATATAACACAGACGATATGTTACTCTTGGGTCATAAAGACAGTAACCATGGCAAACTACTACCACATGAACATATATACTGCCCCACAAACTCACCATCATAGAACACAGACGACGTGGTGCTCGTGCACCCGTCGTCAAAGGACAGGGATGGGATCGCCGCCACAGGCAGCCCAGGTGCACCATTCCTGGATAATTGTCCATCCTCACTGCCCCGTCGAGAGGCCAGGGGACCGGGCTGGGGTGCACTGTGGCCTGTGGACATGGCCCGGCACAGTGCCCTCTGTGGGGGGTTTCGTCTTGTCACTCTGGGCGTGGCAGTGGCTGAGTTGTTGCCCGTTACACGGTTCATGGGAACTGTACCTGTGGGTGTATGAATGGGCCGTCAACTGTCCCGTTGTAGGTATATATATATACTCACTGTGTGTAGGTGCATATATACTCACTGTGTGTAGGTATATGTATACTCGGTGTGTGTAGGTATATACCGTTGTAGGTATATATATACTCAACTGTGTGAATGTGAAGTGGTGTGTTATAGTTTACTTTGGACCAGATATCCTTATGAGTTTGTATGCACAGAATCTGTGAAATTCATTATTACCTATGTGCTGATCAATTCCCAACGTTTATTGCGTATATACATACATACATTCATACACACACACACACATACACACACACACACACATATATATATATAAATACACACACACACACATATATATATATATACATATATACATATATACATATATACATATATACATACATACATACATACATACTTACATACATACATACATACATACATACATACATACATACATA